ACTCATAAAAACTGCATGCAAAACAAAAGGGGCAGAGTTGGGCGAGATGTTACTCGCCTTAGGGGTGATGAAAGCTCCTGGATCTGCGAGAGAGTGGTTCCCCTTTGCTGCAACGTTCGAAACCCGCTAAAAATCCTCCGAGTTCTCCCCAAAATCACCAAGAACAAAGCTGGGGTTTGAGAGAGGAGAGAGGGTCTAGGGTTTCTCAGATCTGGTGATGAGAGGGGGTGTTTTCAGGTAGGAGAGATCATATATTAACAGCTAGACCCGGCCCAAAACCCGAACCAAACAAAACAGATCCGAAACCTAGAAAAACTGGAAAACAGCTCGTTAGTCAACTGATCGGTCGACTGATCTCGTCAGTCGACTGATCGGTCGACTGATCTGGCAATTTCTTGTTTCGCGCATGTTTTGCTTATTTGCAAAACCAACGCACAAAACTCTACACGTATACCCTCATATCATCTCAAATAAGCATGTTTTGCTTATTTGCAAAACCAACGCACAAAACTCTACACGTATACCCTCATATCATCTCAAATAACTTGTTATCATGTCCATCTATGACCTCCGCACAAAACTCTACACGTATACCCTCATATCATCTCAAATAACTTGTTATCATGTCCATCTATGACCTTAAGCTATTTATCACAATAATTCACATATATACATAACAAAAAGATACGGGGTTTTACAGACTCAAACTTCAAAAGAGCCCCTTGGGTGAGGTAACTCCTAACAGCCTGTGGAGGCTGATGTCCGGAATCTTTCTTAGCAATGCCTTGTCATTCAGAAGAAAGAACTGCTCAATAACTTTGGCTTGATCAGCTCTGGAACTGCTCAATAACTTTGGCTTGATCAGCTCTGGACTCTAAGACTGAACCCCTAGAGTCTATTCGATGCTCGGGAACAAAGAGGTGCTCCTCCAATGGCTCCATCTCACAGCGAGGACGGGACTTAGCAAGTTCTATCAAAATCCCCGCATCCCCTCCTAAGTGAAGATCATCAATACGATAGCGGAAGGGCCATTCATACCTACCCTCCTGCATAGTAGCTGGAAGACCCAAATGCTCCTCAACAACCGGCTCCTATACCTCGGCGACCGGCTCCTCGATAGCCGAATCTTTCCTGAGTCTCCTAGAAGACCTAAAGCCCTCTCCTTGCTCAACCGAAGCTCCTCCTTCGGCTTCGACTTTGGTCAGAGTTTTGTCTCCTGTTGACTCCATGACAAGAATATCTTCTCCTCCAGCCTCCTACTAGGGTACCGAATGCGGAGAATCACCTCCACCTCGATAGATATTATTGATTAGAGTTTGGAAATTTTGTGGGGTCGAAGTCTCTTTGGTTTGCCCAGTATGGCCTTAACCTGGCTAGGTGTAGCCTCAACTGTTGGGTCCTTTTGTTTTGATGATAATTTACAAATAATTTACATCTAATGTTGTTTGTCTAGTGTTTGTGTTTTGTATCTATTCTAGGTAAATAATATATTGGAGGATGGATGGAATCGAGCATTCACGATCATATCCAATGGAGATTAGTAAAATAACGGAGTGAAACAATGCAATTCAAGTTGAATATCCAAGTTCAAGCTTCATCCGCAAGTTTACTAAGAAGAGCTTATTGAAGATCAAGATCAAGCTTCGGTAATTTAGTTTAGGTTTTATATTATGTGTGTTAAGTACTCTAAGCTCAATCATATACACACACATTTTATTAGTTTTAATATATATATATATATATATATATATATATATATATATATATATATATATATATATATATATATATATATTAT